TTTTTTTTTTTTTTTTTTTTTTTTTTTTTTTTTTTTTGGACCTGGGGATTGTACTGAGGATTTTACGCTTGTGAGGCAGGCACTGCGCCACTGAGCAAAATCCCTGGCCCTCATTTTCATCGTTTTAATTTTTTTTTAGATGATGTATAAAACATAAATATTATTGGTTAAAACAGATTTATAGGGCTGGGGAATAGCTCAGCAGCAGAGTGCTTGCCTAGTGTGTACAAGGCCCTGGGTTTGATCAACAACACCAGAAGTTCCATATAGTCATAGACATAATTAGTTTTTATAGTCAAATGTGGTGGCATATGCCTGTAACCTCAGTACTTCAGAGGCTGAGGTAGGAGGATCACCATGAGTTCGAGGTCAACTTGGGCTAAACAGTGAGTTCAAGACCAGCCTAAACTACATAGTGAGACCCTGTCTTCAAAACAAAACATTAATCTTTATAAAAGTTATTTGCTAAGCCAGATATTATAAAACATGCTTGGAATATCAACATTTTGAAGGCTGAGGCAAAATGGTGAGTTCAAGACCAGCTATAGCAGTGAGTTATAGGCCAGCCAGGACTATATAGTTAGACTCTGTCTACCATGAATAATGAATGCATTCATCATGGGGAGTAGGTACATGTACATAACTCATCTTAATCTTTTGTCCTCTTTTGCCTTCCTTCAAAATGAGTTTGCCAAACAGGCACAGTAGCTCACATCTATAATTCTAATTTCTTGTGCTCACTTTGGCATCACATATACTAAAATATAATTCTAGTTTCTTGAGATGTTGAAGGCAAGAGGATCACAAGTTTGTAGCCATACTGGGCAGTTTAGTGAGACCCTGTCTCAAAAATAAAATAGAAAAGGCTGGAAGTATAGTTCAATGGCAGAGTCCTCGCCTAGCATGTGTGTAGCCCTGGGCTCAGTCCCTAGTGTTACCAAAAGTTTCCCAAGCTATAAATTCATAATTGTAATATCTACTGTACTGTTTATGAAGGAACACTGGACTAAGAAGAAAAACTGAATTCTGGGCCAGGCTCTACCACTAACTACATTGTCAGAGACAAGATATTTCATCTTTCTAGGCCAAGGCCTCATTTGGCACATGAGGATTTATTTTATTATTTTGCGGATACTGGGGATCAAACTCAGAACCTTGTACTTGTGAGGCAGGCACAGTGTCACTGAGCTAAATCCTCAGCCCATGGCACACGAGGATTTAAAATTAATCATTTCTGGGCCGGGGGATTTAGCTCAGTGGTGCCACCACCTGCCTTGCAAGCACAAGGTTCAGAGTTTGATCTCTGGTACCAAAAAACAAAACAAAATAATAATAAAATGAATCATTTCTAAATCCTGTTTATTCCTTATAGTTTGTAATTTTATTACGAAAAGAATATCAAATATGATGTGTAGGCATTATATAATGTACAAAACATTGTCTCCTATTATTTATAAAAACCCTAATTATATATATGTGGTACTTCATGAAAAGTAGACATTACCTCAGAAATGTCCTGATCAAAAGAAGTACTTTGCAATCAGAAAGATATTTCTTTTAAGGCAAGTTTTCTGTGAGTTGTTGACTTTTGGCAAACTTTTTTTGTATTTTTTTAGTGAAGCTATAATAGCCTTTTGTACTGAAAAAGCCTAAGAACAATTGTCCTAGGTGACTAGTTTTATTTTCACATACTACCACTGTAGATAGTTCATAGACCATTGAGGAGCATTAAGTGGTTGCTTTAGTGTACAGTATTTCAGTTTTCATGTATGGATACCTACTAGCAGGAGTAATGTGTGGCCTAGTTAGTCAAGCACTTGGCCTAGGTTTGACTTTAGTCTCTGTTTTTTATAAAAGGGTCTCACTATGTAAAGTTTGAGGGCTGGTCTCAAACTTGCAGCGATCCTTCTGCCTCAGTTTCCCAAGTACTGGGATTACAAGCATGTGCCACCACACCTGGTTTAGCCTCTGTTACTTATTATGCAAGGTATTTGACCTCTCAAAGCCTTAATGTCTCCTATTATGAAATGATAATAATTATGAGAGGAAATGACTGAAACATATCTGAAGGATTTAACACAGTGCTTGAGACAACAGTGCTCTGTAAACAATTAATTAATAAATGACCCTCAGACTATAAATAAAAGGGCTGTCTTGCCATTTCTCTTTTTTCTCTGTTCCTTCTTAGTCTCTACTTCTTTTTCATCTGACATTTCAAATTGTGGCTGAAAATTGCAAATGTTAATTAAGTCTAAATTGATACAGAATTTCTTAGGATTACATAAATAGCATTTTCTAAATGTTTTTTATTGCCCATATTTAGCAAAAAATCTTTTTGACCATAATATGTCTTACATAATATGTTTTATAAGTTATAAAAATACTGCTTCAGGGGCCGGGGATTTAGCTCAGTGATTCCACTGCCTGCTTTTTTTTTTTTTTGGTACCAGGGATCGAACTCAGGCCCTTGTGCTTGTGAGGCAGGTACCGGAACCACTGAGCTAAGTCCCCGGCCCTGCTCCATTGATATACTATTAAAATAGAAAATTTGAAAGGGTGAAATTAAAAAATAGAATTTCTAATTTTTCTTTACACAGTTCAGTGGCCTAATATGTTTATAGTTCACTTTGGTGATTTGGTATTAGAAAGGGAATTTTTCATAAAGTAGAACTTAATTGAGGGGGGTCATAGCCTGAGTGCCTTCACAGCCTTTCGGTTTGCCTTATCCCTTTGAAGTCTTCTATATTTTATTCCCACAAAAGGAATGAACAGGCTAAGACTTCTCAGAATCTAAAGTTGAGTGTCATTCATATTAAATTTTCATTTACTCATTAGTTACTATTCTTTCATTTAACTAATGGTTACTTAATAGTTAACAATGTATGGCCAGGGATTTAGCTCAGTGGTTCTGGAGCCTGCCTCGCAATCACAAGGACCCGAGTTCAATCCCTGGTACCAAAAACAAAAAAATGAACAGTGTATACAAAGGATGGTTTTTGTTCTCAAGGATCCCAGAACCTATTGAAACAAAGGATTAGTAGCATTTTTACAACATTTCGCTGTATATAAATATATCTCATACAAATTGCTTCATTTAATCTTTGTGTCTCATTTTACAAGGAAAGGAATTGAGTCACACAGAACTTGAACCCAAGCTAGTGAATCGTGTGTTGTGCTGCAGCTCTCTTTTTCCCCCCTAATACTTAGATGAGTAGAATCATATCATAACCAACTTGATTATTTCAAGGTATCAGATTAGCTGGGCATGGTGGCACACACATATCTGTAATCCTAACACTTGGGGGGCTGAGGCAGGAGGATCTCTGAATTTGAGGCCAGCCTAGGCTACATAGCAAGACCCTGTCTCAAAAAAAAAAGATTTCAAATTAATTTCCTTTGAAATATGTTTGACTCTATTTAAGGAAACTGAAAATCATATGAAATAACTCGGAAGACAAGTTTTAGTATTCTGCTCATTCTTACATAGGAACTCCTGTGTATATTTAGGGCATTATTTTAAATGCAATTTCATTTCACAAAAGTTTTTAATAACCACAATGTAAAAGTTTAAGTCTTTATACCTTCTTTATTCGGTTACTTAGGATATATATTATCTGCAATTTTTATCACAGGCAACCTCAGAATGGACCTTGGATTACCCACCTTTTTTTGCATGGTTTGAATACGTCCTGTCTCATGTTGCCAAATATTTTGATCAGGAGATGCTTAAAGTCCACAATCTGAACTACTTCAACTCAACGACCTTACTTTTCCAGAGATTTTCTGTCATCTTTACAGATGTTCTCTTTGTGTATGCTGTCCGTGAGTAAGTCTGGAAAATGTCATTTTGTGCAGAAAGTATTAAGGAAATACAGTATTAAGTAGCATTAAGTCACTATAGTGTTAACTGACTTGGAGGAAACAAAGTTCATATGGTAGCAGATGCTGAAATAATCAAGAACTGTGTTGTGCTTTAAACTGTTTGAGTTATTCCAGTGAGTAGTCCGACAGAATCTTGTGGAAGAAATGGGTATGAGGTAGGGTTACAAAGCAGAGGTAGAGGAAGAGATTGTGAATGTTGTGAGAAGAAGTAGTTCTAGTAGAGTTCTAGGACCATTTCTTCCACTCAAATATCTGCACATGCTTTTTATTCCTTCTTTGCAGAAGGTCACCATAAGCTCCAGTGACCTACCCTATCCTCTAGGACACACACACACACACACACACACACACACACACACACACACAGACACCCTTGTGCACACATATCCACCATGCTAACCACCAAAGTCTGCCCTAGGATACTCGTATTCCTGCAACCACCAAGTGTCTTTTGTTGTTATTTTTGTATTCTTCATGATGACTTCATTATTTCATATTATTTTTATGTTTTTCATTTATTTGACTTTCAGCACTGGGAATTGAACCCAGGGCCTTGGGTATAAGTATACACTGCACCCCTGAGCTATACCACCAGCCCTTGCATGTTTCACTCCTGAGGGCTAAAATAATGTGTGTGATCTCAGTTTTTTTCAAAATCCTTATTCTCTGGGTGAGAGTGGCTGTTTTTAAGTTTTAGTTTTATGAAATGAAGACTTTGTTTCAGATTAGCATAGCTGAAAGAGACATGAAATGGGCCCTGAGGTCTTTGCCTTTGCTGCCACCTTTTTAACCAACAAGAATGGCAGAGGGACTGTGTCAGGAATGGCAAATAAAATGTCCCCAGTGTACTGTGCAGTAGCATGGTGATATGCTAACAGAGATTATGTTTCTTCATAGATGCTGTAAATGCATTGATGGAAGAAAAGCAAGTAAAGACCTTACAGAAAAGCCACAGTTCATTCTGTCTGTGTTACTGCTGTGGAACTTTGGGTTGTTGATTGTGGACCGTATCCTTGATATGTTCTATGTACTATTTTTTTATTCTGGATATCCTAACTCGAGATGGATTCTTTCTGTAATGATAACAGTTAAACATGAGGTGCTTTTGAAAATGGGTGTGGAGTAAGGGAGCTCCCAAAAAACTGCTCTCTCTGCCCAACTTTTCTGGATTCTGATTATTGAAACACTGACCCCTCATGAGTTACTGGTGAAGTGTGAGAACCAGGTAAACCATCATTAAAACAATATCCTGGTATGTATACTGAGATTTGTTAACTGTCTTTATTTAGAGTTATTTAATACATACATTAAATGGGTTTATTGACACATTATTCTAAATTTTTAGAATAGGAAGGGCTTATCATGGTGTTCCATATGGGAACAGCCTGACCTCATGCTTTTCTAGAAAAACAAACAGGAGAAAGTTTTTTGGTTTTTTTCTTAAGTATAAATTTTAGTTAGAAATTTTTCCAGGATGAGTCTGTTTAAAGAAAACTATGCCGGGCATGCTGGTGCACTCCTGTGATCTAGTACTCTGGGAGGCACAAAAATTACAAGTTTGAGACCAGCCTGGTAACTTAAACTTAGCAAGACCCTGTCTTTAAAAAAAAAAGGCAGGGCATACAGTGCAGAGTTCAATCCCCAGTACAAGCAAAACCACATTTATGAAAATGTACTAATATTTTTGTCTTTACCTAGTAAAGTCTCCAAGGTGTCTCCAAAATTTTTTTTTAAAGGGCTGAGGATGGACCTCAGTGCAAAACCCCTGGGTTAATAAAAAGTTACAGCCGGGCATGGTGGCACACCCCTGTTAATCCCAGTACCCAGGAGGCTAAGACAGGAGGATCGCTGTGAGTTCAAGAACAGCCTGGACTACATAGTGTGTTCCAGGTCAGTCTCAACTACATAGTGAGACCCTGTCTC